TGCCTGTCACTTCCCCTGCTTGTGCTCTCTTTCTCTCTCTGACAAATTAATAAAATCTTAAAAAACAAAACAAAAGACTATAACTTTTTATACTTTCCACATCAAAACACATTCTCCGGATTCACCAAATATAAAAGCCAAACTTCCAAAGACATTGGTTCTTACTCTACCTGGCTACACATCCCAGGACCATATTTACTAGCAACAAAGAATATATGTTTACTAAGTATCCAACAATCAGTATCAAAGTATGTAGGTCAACCCCAAAGCCAGCTTAGTTCTATACCTGTAATAATTAAAGTCACTGTCCATTCAGTTATAAGTTCGCGCTGCAGCACACTTTTAGGGCCCCTCAGGAGTTCTGGTGATTCTGCTTTCTCATTACGTAGTATTTCCCAGTGATCGGGGGACATGGAGGCCAAGGCAGGCCCTTTGGAGGGACCATGACCAGTGTTCAGGACGTGACACCAGGCTCGGAAAAACCAGGCAAGCAAAAACAGGTCAGAGCTCGTTCTCAACCTGATTACTTCACACACGGTCAGAGTGGGACTTGCTTTCTCCATGAGCTTATGTGACAGAGACCCCAAAGGACAAAAAAGTGCTAGGGAACCATGTCAGCAAGAAAGAAGAATGGAGTAAAGAGACAAATGAAATGACATAAAATAACAGACTGGAGCCCTGGAACTTCAGGGATCAAACCAGAAGAAAGCTCCTTACACTTGGATTTTCACTAACTGGCTGGGAAGTGGTCAAGTGTCCTAGAAATTCTCTAACCTGGGGAAACGCATAAAGCAGTAAGACAAAATTAGGTGCCATTATTTTTACAGCAAACTTAAATTCAATACCCTTACTAATATTGTGACTTAGACAAATTAAGAAATTTCTTGCAAACATTTCATATTATGTACAGAAAAGAGGGAGAGAAATCTAGACTAATCTGTGGTAAAATGACTCTACCACTGCAATTATCAGTAGAGACAGAAATAAAGACCATTCTAATTAGCTCCTTAAAATCAATACTAAAATCAGTACTTATAAAAAAGAGAGAGCAATATTTGGGTCAAGATTATTTTAAATCTCTGATTATAAACAAGTATTCGCTGGTATTTTTCCCAATAAATGATATCTGAGGGGGTCAGTGACAAAATATTCCCTCGTGTCCTAAGGATCAACTGAGGTCACCCAGGAGGCACCACGGGATGGCACTTGGGAAGTAACATGCACTCGGTGACGTTGTCCCTGGTTAGAAATTTGGAAGCAAAAGGATTTTACTACCAACAATAAATAACACAACACCTGTACAACATTAAGAGTCAAATCAAATCATAATTTATCACGGTTCTAAAACGAACTCCAAAACATCTGGTTTACTCTGTCAACAATGCTTATAGATATCCATGTTGGACACAGCCTACCACCCAACCCCTGGCATTTGTCTGCTGAACCCCAAATCTGTGGTCAGGGAGTTTTCTACCTTCCTAAAAGGAGGAAGCAACACACAGCATTCAGTAAAAACAAGAAAAGTGTGAAGGAGGATTCCTGCTGTTTTTTAAAAAATGTACACCAATGCATAGAGGAAAAAAAAAGATCAGATGGAAAGCATAAAAACACTGACGTGATTACTGCCGTACAGAGAGACGATAGGGTCATTTCAATTTCTTCTTACCAGTGGTTTTATGCACTTGGATAAATCTACTACTGCTGTTCGCAGTAAACATGTTTAAAAGATAATTTAAAACAAGAAAAGCAAAATGTGTGATGAAAAGTTTTTAAAATTCTATACATATCCAACTACTAATTTGATAAGCAATCTAACAGATTTTTACTCAAAAATCAGGTGAGAAACTTCTAAAATCCTTTCTTTAGAGCCAGCAGAGGTCCTGAATTCAAAAACAAAAGACCGATTCATGAACAAAGGGATTTCTTTAGAGTTTTTCAAGTGGCTTCTGTTTGTCAGCTTCCACCCAATACATTAAAGCAGTAAATACAACAGGTTTTTACCATTCTGCAGACTTCCTAGTTAAGAAAATAACCATATAACCCAAACCTCCAAAATGTGGTGGGTGGGGGAGGGGGAGGTTGAGGGCAAGGAGGAATAGCATATCCAGAGGCTAACAATTCGGGAGAGAGGGAAATGTAATTTTTCTTACATGTGGCCCCAATGCACCTTGTAGCCAAGCTTTGTTTTACAGGGACCCGCGGTGATCGGCTGTGCCTTCTGCAGAGCAATTTAACTACTGAACAGCTGGGAGAAGAAACAAGATTTAGGGGGCCGGACGGGGGCGGGGGGAGCACCATACCGACCCTCAATGGTGTCCATATTAAGCTCTGTATTTTGTCTGAGTCAGAGTTTGGGTCACATAAGAGTAAAACTGGCCCGAGAGAAGAGAACAGTTTCTCACAGATTGGCGTTTAAATCTCAAATGACTGTGTTTCACAGCATGCCCAATACACTCCAGCGTGTAACTGCATTTTAATTTCCTAAAACCACAGGACAGAAGTCTGATTTCAAATAGTGTCTGGACTGTGATATTCAATACTGACAGAACTGTATGGTGTTCTCTGGAAAGGTGCAAAGATTCAGCATATGGAAAAGGATCTTCCTTTTGTTTGAAGCACTATTCTTGGAGAAATTTCCTCCTCTGACTTTTGTAAATGAATTCTAAACAATGACTATTAAGAGCTAAAGCTTGTGCCTTAAGAAAGGTAATTTAACAGACTACAGGAGGAGGGCATCCTACATACTCTCCACTCCCCACGGGCTCACACCATTGGAACAGACTTCAAATTTTGCCGTGAAATGCTCATTTGTGCTAACTTTGGAAAATGAACTTAGAACCTATTAACACAAATTAATCTTTACTTGAATGTCCATTCAGTGCGTGGAAAGTATTCAGCTACCTTTTCAACTTTACAGAGCAGGGACAGCCTGTGATGGCCTTAATTTCCAGGCATTATATAAAAGAAGGAAACTTTATAACAGATGAAAAAGGAAAGAAAAAGAGGAAGGTGAAACTCTGTCTTAAGTTTGGAAGTCGGAAACCAGTTCATGATCATATTACTTAGTTGGAAGGAACTTACACATTTTTGTATGTGAACGTGAAATAAAGCAATGAAGATGGTTAGCAGTTTTCACCATAAGGGAACGGCTCTGAGCCACCCTTGAGAAAATTTGTTAAAAAGGAAAAAAAATCTTTTTTGAAGGGACAGTGAATTAAGTATACGCTTTCCTCTAAACTACTTATTATTACTGCTTTTCCCTTTGAGCTTGACTCAAATACTAATTGACAAATGCAATAGGTCTGTTTTTAAGCAATACATCTGTTTGATGAGTCTGGTGTAATTTTACTTAGAAAAAAGGATAAAATTCTGATTAACAACTGAAGGTATAAGAACTGTAAAGCCATGGTTGTTCTTTGATCCTAAATACCTAGGGAACCTGGGGGTGATCCTAGGGGTCTGGCCTATGAGTCAGACATCTTCATCAGATTCTAAGCTATCACCATGGGTAAGAAGTGCCCCCTCTTGATTTTGTAACAGCTTTTCAAGGAGAGACCAAAATACAATGGGACATGAACCAATTTTTTTTTAATAAGAAGAAACCTGATTTGTCAGGAGGAAATGCACACCCTAGAACAGAAGAAATTACTGCATTTCTTTTCTTGTCCCTTTTGTCTTCCTATTTGATTTTCCCATTTATTCCCTTCCCCCCTCTGGCTTTTTCACTTCTCTTTTCTGATTTTTTTCCCCAAGTTGAGGCCATAAATGACTAGATAAAAAATATTTTATTCTTCATTGTGCATCAGGCAATCTCCTCTGGTGGGTTGGGAGGAGTCAGAACCCAGGAAGCACACAGGGGAGCACCCAGGCACTTCAGCCTGAGGAAAAACATGCATGGGGACTTGATGCAACCCACAACGAGAGCATCACAGCTCTCCCGTGAGGAACAAAGTTGTAATGGAACACAGGGAGGGTGAGGAGGGCCGTGTAGAGGGGGACTGCTGCCAACTGAGGGGGGTTTGGACAAAAGGGAGGTGAGCAGAACTGCACATTTTCTTGGAGACAGGAAATGGACTAAATAAAGGCAGATGCAGACGAAAGTCTATGGTACAGTGTAGGGGACACAGAGTGCTAATTTGCCCAGCAACCACCAACTCAGCAATAATATGGGGCTATTCTCAGCATGTTTGTCTTACTTTAATCCTCATTACAGCTCAGTAAGGTAGGTTCTATTATTATCTTAATATTGAAGGTAATGAAATTGCCTAAGGGCACACAATTTACAGGCTGCTGATGAACCAGGAAGCAAATGCAGGCAATCTGACTCCGGGGCTATACTTCCAGTGTCTGTGTCTACTACCAGTGCACAGAGCGTCCAAATGCGGAATACCAAGGAGATCAAACATGGCTAGGGCTCTACCGCACTGGAAGTGGGAGAAGGGACAGGAAAGGAGAAGCACCAGAGATGTATGAAGAAAGTCAACAAAGTATTACACACACACACACACACACACACACACACACACGAAGAGTAAGAAAGCATTTTCACAAAACCCATCCCAGCCTGTCGGCCCTCAGGAAACCCTTCCCCAACTTTATGCAATCCAACTGGTCAGTATTTCTACGTTCTTTGCCCTAGCTAAACAATCTAGTGACTAATTTCTATGCACTGTGATAGCTGTAAAGAGAAATAAATGGAAAGTGGGGTCAGCCCTCAAAGCATATAACAACTAGTAACAGAAGAAGACAGGTAGTGAGGAGCAGACGCACAGGTTTCCACATTTATCTCCAAAAGCGAGAGTGTTGTATGTGTGCACATGTGTTAGCTCCCCGTCATACACATACACACACACACACGCACGCACGCACGCACATGTACACACTCATGCACATTCTACAATAGATAAAAAGCTACCCGGACCCTATGAAGAGCCAAAGCCATACACATGGAACCTAAAAACATTGCCAACAATTTCTGGCGAGCTCTGCTCTGAACGTACCTGCTTCTGGGTCCTGGTTGAAACGGCAGTACTTGGAATTCTCAAGCAACGACAGGCACTGCTCAATGGGCACCCAAACATACGTCTCAGGACACAACAAATCAGAAGGTCTATACTGACCCTAAAGGAAAGTGAAGGAAAAAAAACCCACAGGCATTACAAACACAGTAACTTCCTGGTTACAAGACTCCACAGTTCCAGGAAAGGTTTTAATCACCAGTTTAAACAAAGTCAACCAGAAACAGCTTTCTTGTAAATACTAAGTGACTCTCCGAACTGCTTTCCCGACTCAAGAATGCAGACTGGATTCAAAAGCTCTCCAAAAGTAATGCATCACTATTTGTGACGCCTATATTGATCTGGAAGATTCAAGTTTCTACTTTCTTTTTCAAGAAATTTTAATATATGATTCTTGCTTAGCTGACTGCAGAGAATACCCAGTTTTGAAATCAAAGTGAAATGTCTTTTCACATATGACAGCATTACAATTTACATCTGGAGCAAACTCTTTTCTGAAATGGAATTTCAGGATGTTTTCATTTGTAGACTCAGTTGATAATACTCATTCCATGTTAATGTATTTAAAAGTACTGTTTTGTCGAGAAACTTACATGAACAATCTAAACTATTAAATGTAAACAAAGAGAAGTTTAAAAAACACTACAGAAATTTTAGGGAAACTTCTATCATAATAATCCTCTCAAGTTTCTTCCAAAACACCATTTTAGCAGAAATGACTTATACATTTATAACCCAATTATATACCCCAAATCTAAAACAAAGACTATACACTAGATGCTGAAGAAAAAAAATCATTTGCCTATAGGTAATGTAGTAGATAATCAACAGGGGATGGTACAAATTATGTGAAATCACTCAGTGAAAATTTTAAAAGTATCAAAGTTAATTAAAATTCCAAATATCTCTTCTCTAAAATTCTGAAATTCAAAATTTGTTACAGAGGTTAAAAATCCAGTAGTGTTTTAAACTCTGTTTCGTATAACCTGTAGTAAGAAATACACTTACATGACAACCCAGCAAACACATATGCAAATACAGAACTAGAAACAAACCTTTTACTATAAAATGTTTACCCATCTTATGTAATCTTTTATTTCCTATCCTACTCTACCTCCTTTTTTAATGATGCTCTTGAACCATAAATACTGCTTTTACAAACAGCTAGTGGGTCACAGCCTCAGAGTTTGAAAAACATGATGTGGCACAAGCCCTTTACAAAGAATACGGCCGTTACAGACCCACTACTGTTACAGACCTTTTTATCAGACAGGTACTCTGTCACCTGCCTGCTATGTGCACGTCACACTATAGGAAGCCTCACTCACTCAGATACACCCTCCCAAGCTCTCGAAGCATCCAGAAGTTCACAAGTGAACGGGGAAGAGCATACATGAAGAAAGTATATGCGAGGGGCACCTGGGTGGCTCAGTGGGTTAAAGCCTCTGCCTTCAGCTCAGGTCATGATCCCAGGGTCCTGGGATCGAGCCCCACATCGGGCTCTCTGCTCAGTGCAGAGCCTGCTTCTCTCTCTCTCTCTCTGCCTGCCTCTCTGCCTACTTGTGTTCTCTGTCTGTCAAATAAATAAATAAAATCTTTAAAAAAAAAAAAAAAAAGAAAGTATATGCGAATCAGCTCCTGCTGGAGAGGCTGGGAGAGAGGTCAAGGGGGATGCGGAGTTTTACTGGGGATTTAACAGATGACTGGAATTAAGTCTAGGGCAGGATGAAAAGGAATGAGAACAATCTAGATGAAGGGAACAGGGTAAAGGAGGACGCACAGTGGGGCCTGGTATGAGATCACCCCAAGGAACAGGAAATAGCAGGGCACTGCAGAAATGGAAAGGCAGGTTGGGACAGATTCTGTGAGGCCACAACATTCGTGTTTCGGTCTATATTCTAGATGAAATGGGAATGCTTGCTGGCTAAGAGAGAAAGCGTGACAAGAGGGAGGAGACTAGAACTCAGGTGCCTGACCCTGACCTTCCCACACTGTTCAAGGCATTGCTGATGCCTCGAGGCCCTGAGCAGGATAGGCCATCCGTAAGGGGAAGCTCCAGGGGGTCCACATACTCATCCAACATGAAAAATACTAACAGGATTCTTTAGAGATGAGCTAATAACTACGTAGGTGCAATAAAGCCTGATAGTCAATGACATCTATTTTACCAAAAGCAATGTCATTCTCTCCATTAATTCAGAAATTGTTTTATTGATGGAAAGCAGCAGCATGATGTGATGCTGACCTTGTTAACAAAGTTGAAAAACTAGCAGTCTCAAGCAATGGGTCTAAATCTTCTTTATTTTCATTTTGGGTCAGAGACCATTTTGAAATCTGCTGAGGGAAAAAGGCTGAACATAAAAGCTAAAGATATAAAACTTCTACAAGAAAAAAAGGAGTAAATTTTCTTCACCTTGGAGTACACAAAGATTTCTTAGTGCACAAAAACACATTAACCATAACAACAACAACAACAAAACAATAAAAACAACTGATGAGCTGATTTCATGAAAATTATATACTGTATTCAAAAAATTATTAAGAGAATAAATAGGCGGGTGTCTGGGTGGCTCAGCTGGTTAAGAGACTCCCTTCGGCTCAGGTCATGATCCTGGAGTCCTGGGATCGAGTCCCACATTAGGCTCTCTGCTCAGCAGGAAGTCTGCTTCTCCCTCTGGCCCTCCCCTTCTCATGCTCTCTCTCTCTCTCTCTCTCTCATTTTCTCTCAAATAAATAAAAAATGTCAAAAAAAATAAACAGGTAAGCCAAAGACTACGAGAGAATATTAACAAAACATATATTGGAAAACAGATGTGTATCCAAAACACATTAAAAAAACTTAACAACTCAAGAATAAAAAAAATACATTTCTTAAAAAAAGGCACCAAATACAGATGAATGCCTAATAAGCATCTGAAAATAAATTCAACATCAGTTATCAGAAATGCCAATTAAAACCATAACACATCACTGCACACCCACCAGAACGGCTAACATTAAAAAGACTGAATAACAAGTTCTGGCAAGGAATTGGACTATGTACGACACGGATACAGCGGGTTTACAATGGTATAACCACTTGGGAAAATACATTCTTGGACATTTATCATTTGTGAATATGTTTAGGATAAATTCCTTGAATTGGAATTGATGCGTGTAAGGGTTTTTATGTTTTACAGCACAAAACTATTTTCCATAGAAGTTGTGCCATTTTACATTCCCATTAGCAACATATGGACACAAGTGTTCATTACCCCACTTACTTCATTAGCAACAAAGCATACAATTGAAACTTTCAATCTCTGCCAATCCGAGAAATGGCAATTCACTGTGGTTTTAATTTGCATCACAAAGCTTTCCATACGTTTAAAGCAATTTGTATTTCCTTTCCCATAATGTTGGCCCACTGTTGTTAGATTTCTGGTCTTATTATTTGAAAAACTCTTTATATATTAAGGAAATTCATCCTTAGTTTGCAAAATATGTTTTACTTCCCTGGTTTATAGGTCTTTTGACTATGCCATTTCCTTTCACCAGGTGGAAATCTGGTAAGTGGTCAAATTCATCATCTTTAAAAATGGTGTCTGAGTTTTCCAATATAATTTTAAAAAGTCACTATCACTCAAATATTATAAAAACATTCACTTTTTTCCTAGTACTTTTATGGTTTCATAATTTTACATTTACATTTATGCTCCATCTGGAATTTATTTTGGAATAAGGTATAAGAAAAGGATCTAACCTAATTTCTTTCAGATGTTTACCAAGTGGCTTCAATATGTGGTTTCCCCACATATTGGTTTGGGGACTGTGGTTTCCCCCACTGATTTAAATGTCTTTCTGATAACTTACTAAATTTCCATATACATTTAGATCTCTTTCAGCGCCTCCCATTTATTTTGATATACTCACCTGTCTACTCACGTGCCAGTGCCACACGGTTTTAACCGTTGAAGCTTGATATTCTATTTTAATATCTAGCAGATCTAACCCCCCCCCAATGCTCTTCATCTACAGTATTTTCTGGCTCTTCCTGCTTAATTTTTCTAAAATTCTGTACTTAGGGGGTACCTGGCTGGCTCAGTCAGTGTGCAACTCTTGATCGCAGGGTTCTGAGTTTGAGCCCCATGATGGGTGTAGACATAACTTACATAAAATCTTTAAAAATAAATAAATAAATAAAATTCAGTACTTAATATAAAAATGTTACCATTATGAACAATGAAACAGTAATAAAAATGTTATGGTGTGTTTTGTCTACTGTGATGGCAGGACATAAAAGCAGAGAATCCCAAGAATGTTAGTAAAAAGAAAATATATGCATCATCTTAAGTTAAAAAAAAAAAAAAACAACCCAAAACATACAAATGACACCATTTTCTAACTGAAGGTAGAACTGAGTGATGACTGGCTAAGATGCACAGGTCAGTTATTGGGGGGCAGGGCAGGGCGAGGCGGTCAGGCATCATCTTAGACGTCTTTAAAGATTAAAACAGACAAATTCCCTGCAGCTATGCAAATTCATCCACAGACGCCTGAACCCAGTGCCTGGATTTAACAATGACATTGACATTAAAAAATATTCAGTCACTGAACAGGAAAAGAATCCTCACTATGTGACAGACACTAGATGCTTGGAATAAAACGATGAACAAATGAGTGCACACCTCTAGATAACTCACCATCTACCGGCAGTGACAGACATGGACAAAGATGAAATGAACATAAGAACGTAGAAAGGGGACACCTGGATGGCTCAGTCAGGTAAGCATCTGACTCCTTATTTCAGCTCAGGTCATGATCTCAGGGTCATGACATTAACCCCCACACTGGGCTCATGCACGGGGCGTGGAGCCTGCTTGAGATTCTCTCTCCCTTCAACCCACCTCTTCCCTCCCTTACCCTCAATACCTCTCTTTAAAAAAAAAGAATACAGCAAGTGTAATTGTATACAGTGGTTCGAAGTTCCTAAATTTTCACATTCTTTTTAGGTCATACTTGTTCATAGTGGGCCCGAGATTTTTTTTCTTTCTTTCTTTTTTTTTCCCCCAAAGATTTTATTTATTTGTTTGACAGAGAGAGACCACAAGTAGGCAGAGAGGC